TTTCATGTAAAATTTGGGAGTTATTTGACAGAAACCAAAAAAATGTCCTGAAATTTCAATTTATTGCTAAAGAATGAAAAATCTAATTCAAAGTCGTTTTACTCAAAATTTTATTATCGGAGTGTATATAACTCTAGGCATGGAATTGTATTAAATTTTATCTAGTTTTTCCCTATCTAACCCAAAAATAGTACTTTCATATAAAATTTGGGAGTTATTATATTGGAATCTTAGAAATTGAGTTCAGATTTTAGTTTTCTATAATTTTCTGATTTAACTTCCTTGGATTCAAGTCGAAATCCCTGTTTTGAAATAGTTGAAAATTCAATAAAATTTTGAAATATTTGCATATATATGAGCACTTTGTATATAATTTATATTGTAAGTTAGAAAGGTAAAATTAAATACATTTTATTTAAAACGTTCACTCAAGAGACTAAATTAGTTAAAAAAAAATGGATTTGGTTTTGGCTTTTTATAAAAAAAATTATTTTTAATTTTAGATTTTTTATAATTCCCTGATCTCAGTTTGAATCAAGGCTCATTTTTTTAGTCTTTGTGAATGTTTGATAAAAATCTTACTCCAAAATTATTTTGAGAAATATATGTCAATTAGCTTAAATTCTTTAAACATTCTGTTTAAGTCAATTACATATATGGAAAAGTTCATGTAACTTGCCTTGAGGCAAAATGCCACTTAAACCTAGTTAAAGCTCTAATTAGATAATTGTTAAAATATTATATTATTAGTATTTGAACTCTTGTAACTAGTTTTAAAAAATGTATCAAAGGTAGTAATTAATTTTAATTTAATTCTATCTTAGAGCATTCTAGAATTATTTTTACTTGCAAAATAACGTAATTTGTTGATTGATTGATTTCCCAATTAATAAATATTCTAATTAAAAAGTTGCGTATATGCATTTATAAATATATAAAAATCCAGTTTTTCTGTTTTGCAAAAAAATTTTTGCACTTGCATATTGCAACATAATTCAACAATCATTTCACGTACTTTATAATACTTTGCAACAATTTTTGCAGTGTCATGGATTTTTCTATATGAAGAAACAAAAACATAAATATTATGTTATAGGAAAAAATATGCTTTTATATGCAGTTATTTAAAATTCAATGTACAAGTTGTTTTCGCACATTGATAAATATCGACAAGTATTATAAATAATTGTAAATGTTGTTTGTTTAAACATTTTTTCTTTTCTTTGTGGAGGTGTATGTAGAATTAATTTTAAATTCTTAAGATGTGATGGGAAAATAATTTAATATAATAAGTCATATTCTGTTTTTATAGCCAAATTATTTTATATAAATTATAATCAACTTCTCGAAGTTAGTGTTGTCGCCAGAAAATCCAATTTGATTATTTTATGTTTTTTCGACGTTTCAAGTCATAATTCAAAATTTGAAAAAGTAACCAAAATTTTACTTTTCATCAACATTTTAACAAAATCGGCTACATCGGATTCAAAAAGTGATAAATACGTTTGTTTTTGACAATTTTCTGATTACTATAGTTCAATTTTATATGTTTATATTATTATTATTTAGATCTTCAGTTTAGAATTATTATATTTATAAAAATGATGCAGAAAAAAGATTTTTGTATTGGATTGTAAGATTTTAAAATTTATTATTTATATTCCTACACAAAGAGATGAAAAAATGTTCAAACACAAAACCTTTATAATTAATAATAATATTCAGTCATTAATAAGATATCTTATACATTAAATTTTTATAACTGCATATAAAATGTAAAGCTTTAATATTTATGTACATATTGTACTCCAAAATATTTTTTCTTGTAACATTTATGTTTGTGTTTTCTAATTAATTAAAAAATTATATAGTAATTAATAATTTCGGAATTTTACCAATAAAGTAAAAAAATTATAATGTTCCAATATTACTAAAAAAGTATTACTAAATACTTTAGAAGATAATATTCTATCTTCTTTTTACTAGTAAAGTATAATATTGTATGATATATAAATATCATATAATGTACCGTTATTTAATATCATTTAATTTGTATATATTATATATATACATATATATTATAAAAAAATATTACCAAATTTACTAACAATACCAAAATTATATAGGAGACGATTTGAATGGAATACAGAACAAAATTTACAAAAACATGCTGCATACACTTTGCGGTTGGAAATATAAAAAAAATTTAAGAAGTTTGAATAAACAGAAAAAATATTGGAAAACTTATGAAGCATGAGTTTTAAAACGGAATACATTATTTACTGTAGAAAAATAATTGGCTTGTTTAATAATACGCCTGAAAGATTGAGGTAAATTTGCTTTTATAAGTATCAGGCATTATTAATTCAAATAGTAAATAATGCTTATAATATATATATATATATATATATTTGTATGATTCTGAATTTGATGTTGACATATGTATTAACAAAGTCTAATAATCGGGCATAACATCAATAAAAAACATGAATTTCTTTCAAAAATTTATTTTAAATCCATACGTTTCGGCTATAATCCTAGCCTTCATTCAGTGGAAACTAAAAATAAAATTAAAAAAAATAGTTGATCTTAGTGTTAATTTGGAAAACTTTAGTAATCCATGGTATTAGGATATGGTAATGCACTACACTATGTATTATAAACATTAACTTGAAATTACACAATATTTTCACAAAATATTGATTTGAAAAAAATCACAAATGGATAGTGTGTTATTCGTATACTGGTTGAAGATGTTTACATTTACATTTTTAGAAAACTGATAAAAATTTTACATTTTTGGAAAATTACATATTTATGACATTCACAATATTTTTAAAGCATTTACAACAGTTTTTAGAAAATTTACAACAGTTATAACAGTTTTCAGAAAATTTACAACATTTTTAAAGCATTTACAACAGTTTTTAGAAAATTTACAACATTTTTAGAACATTTACAACATTCTTGAAAAATTTACATTTTTAGAAATTATACATTTTTACAAAAATTACATATTTATGACATTTACAACATTTTTAGAACATTTTCAATAATTTTGAAAGAAATTACAACATTTTTAAAACATTTACAACAGTTTTCTTAAATCTTTTACAACATTCTTAGAAGATTTACAACATTTTTACCATTTTTTAAACATATACCACATTTTTAAAAAATTTACAACATTTGCAACGTTCATAGAACATTTACAACAATTTTGAGAAAATTTACAATATTTTTAAAGCATTTACAACATTCTTAGAAAATTTACAACAGTTTGGAGAAAATTTACAATACATATAACATTTTTAGCAAATTCACAACATTTTTACCATTTTTAGTACATATACAACATTCTTAGAAAATTTATAACATTTTTAGAAAATTTACAACATTTTTAGAACATTCACAACAGTTTTAAAACATTTAGAAAATTTACATTCTTAGAAAATTTACAACTTTTGCAACATGCATAGAAAATTTACAACATTTTTAGAACATTTGCAACATTCTTAGAAAATTTACATTTTTAGAACAATTACAACATTCTTAGAACATTTACAATGTATATTGTGGCATTTACAACATTTTTAGAACATTTATAATATTCTTAGAGAATTTACAACATTTCCATCATTTTTAGTATATATACAGCATTCTTATTGTTAGGACATTTACAACATTCTTAGAACATTTACAACATTCTTAGAACATTTACAACAGTTTTTAGAAAATTTACAACATTTTTAGGAAATTTACAACATTCTTAGAAAATTTACAAAAGTTTTACATTTTTAGAAAAATTTACTAAAATTTTACATTATTAGAAAAATTACATATTTGACATTCACAACATTTTTAGAACATTTACATTTACAGCATTTTTAGAAAATTTACATCATTAAAAAATTTACATTGTTAGGAAAATTACATATTTATAATATTTACAACATCTTTAGAGCATTTACAACAGTTTTGAGAAAATTTACAACCTTTCTAAAACATTTACAACATTCTTAGAACATTTACATTTACAAGATTTTTAGAACATTTACAGCAGTATTTAGAAAATTTATATTATTAGGAAAATTACATATTTATGACATTTTCAACATTTTTAGAACATTTACAACAATTTTGAGAAAATTTACTACATTTTTAAAGCATTTACAACATTCTTAGAAAATTTACAATATTTCTAGAATATTTACAACATTCTTGGAACATTTACAACATTCTTAGAACATTCAGTTTTTAGAAAGTTTACAGCATTTCTTGAAAACACAACATTTTTAGAAAATTTACAAAAATGTACATTAGTAGAACATTTACAACATTCATACAAAATTTACAGCATTCTTAGAATATTCTTGGAACATTTGAAACATTTTTAAAAAATTTACAAAAATTTTACATATTTAGAAAATTTACAGAAATTTTACATTTTTAAAACATTACAGAAATTTTAGATTTTTAGAACATTTACAACATTAATAATTATTTACAACATTCTTAGAGCATTTACAATATTTACAACATTCTGAAGTTTTATTTCCTTAGAAAACTACAAAAGTTTTATTTCCTTAGAAAACTACAAAATTTTAAAATATTTACAACATTTTTAAAATATTTACAACATTCTTAGAACAATCACAACAGTTTTTAGAAAAGTCACAGAAAATTTACATATTTAGAAAAATTACATATTTATGACATTTACAACATTTTTAAAAAATTTGCAACAATTTTGAGAATTTTTACATTTCTTAAACATTTACAACATTCTTAGAACATTTACAAGTGCATGTGTGTGTGTTTGTGTGTTTTCTTATAGAGTATAATAATTATTGGTGTGTGTGTGTGTTTTGTTATGAGGAGTATATTTATATGACTATATGTATGTTCTCCTGCGCTTGCGAGAAACGTGGCGAACGAAATGCCAAAAATCTAAGCAATGCCTGCTCCTCGTAACAGTTTGCGTTTGAAAGTCGAGCAGAATTGGTCGTTTTTCTCTCGTTATGACAGATTACAATTAAAATTCTTTAATAATTACTCTCAAACTCTTCGTTGTTGTATTCACACATGTGCAGACGAAATGCAAGCAGACAAACATTCGGTTGTCAGTGTAAATATTTAATTGATAGAGTGATGTGTTAATGTGACAGCGACAATAATGTGATTTTTGAAAACAACATTTAATAAATATTTTATCTTCAATCAAAATCTAATTTCTAATCAAATATTAGATCAATCCTTTCCCGAGATGACTTACGACAAGTTGCACCAGAAAGATGACGCCCCAAAAGGCAAGTGCGTCACTCTCAAGAGTGACGACCGTCGCAGGGGGTCATCGTTTGCCGCCTGCGAGATCCTGGACGATGTCACTCGTGTTAAAAGTACCGGGTTGGCAGATCCTGGCGTCAGGTCCAGGATTAAGCTGAAATTGAAAGCCGTTGCTGGACACTTGGGACTGCTGATGTCTTTGGCGATTTATTGTGCTGTCGGAGGATTGGTGAGAGTTTAATTTAAATAAAATTTACATGGAGCACCGAGTTACAGAGTAACAATTAGAAAACAAAATCTCACCTAGAGCTGTTGTGAAGTCGTTACCATTTTTCGATTATTGTGATTAATTCTTATTAATTTCGTTCATTTAAACTTTGAATTCATAATGGTAAATAATATTTTTTTTAAGACCACAGTAAAAATAATGACACAATTGCTCCACGTTTTCAACAATTAAGACTTTTTGTGAATTATGATTCAAAATTTTCAAAACTGAGAGGCTTTCCTCAAAAAAATTGTACCAAGGTGTGTTGGCAAGTTTCATCGAAAGCTGGCAATTTTAATCAGGATTGCAAATTTCTCTCACTCGATTCAGAATGACTTCAAACGTCGAGAAAACATAAAATTAGCAAATCGGATTTTCTAGCGAAAACAAAGTTTTCCTTCGGAATGTTAATAAATAAATTTCTTGATATAACTCATGAATCATGCTTCAGTCCAAGTTAGAGTTTAACACTTCATAGAACTGAACTTATTTTACATTTTTTACCCCGATTTTAAATTTAATATTACAAAGATTTCTTTAGCATTACTTTCGAAACCATAAAAGTGAAGCAAACGAACTAGCAAAATTCTTTGCTATAGTAGTGTGGAGGCAAAACAAATATATTTGGCGTTTTAGTGTTTAGGTTCAGCTTTAATAAGGTTCAAGGTAAACAAAGGGTTGCCGAAATGGGCATTATTTTATTTTCTACACCTATTTTATATACGATATACATTTATGTGTATGCATTTTTGCTTGTTTCCATGAATTATTAGTGTCCCTTACCCTAGATTGAATCTACGAAATGAGGATACTGACGATCAAACTTTTTGTGGAGACACTTTTTTGGGGATGCCCGTTAATTGAATAACTCTAGTAAGGTTGTATGATTGATATGGTGTTCGTGTTTGCAATAAATAATAAATTGTATTTTATTCCAGAATATCTATAAATGTGATATGTGATAGTTATCTTTATTATTATATGATATTATATATGATATATGATCTTGATTATTATATGATAATTTATTTAATTGTGACTAAGTAGTCGGCTGAACTCATAAAAACTTAGTCAAAATTTTACTGAAATTTTTTTTGGAAACGGGTGTTAATTTAGGGTTGAATGTGTTTCCCAATTACGAATTATAAAAAATAAAAATTGGTCACAAAAATTGAAAAAAATCCACTGAGGGACATGAAAAATAGACGTCTGATTCTCAGCAGCCATCCTGAACGTGATAGTAAAATTTTATGGAAACCTGTCAAACCGTTTCGAAGGAGAATTGCCACTATATATATATATATATATATATATATATATATATATATTAGATATATTAGGGTGGTCCTTAATATGGACATTTTCGAATTTCCTTGCTTCCAAGGGCAAAGAACAGTTTTCTCAAAGTTTTAGCTCTTAATATTGACTTTTAGATAGGGCACAATTCAATCAAAGATTTGTATGGAAATAGCATGAAAACATTTTCAAAAATTTTGCAGAGCGTCGAATTTTCAATAAACAATTATTTTTCAATTTTCAAAATTTTTTTCATGCTATTTTTATACGAAGTTTGATTGAATTGCGCACTATCTAAGAGCTAAAACTTTCAGAGAATTGTTTTTTATTAATTTAGAACTATTTGAGCCCTTGGGAACGAGGGAATTCAAAAATGTCCATATTAAGGACCACCAGAGTATATATATATACTAGATGACCCAACAGATGATGTCCTGTACCAACGTCTACAATTCAAAATTTATTTATGTTACAAGTCTATAAGATTGAATATTCCCACTTTTATTCGACGTATAAAAGACCTATTATTTATTTTCCAAAAATGACTTATTAGTATTTTTTAATAAACAAAATAGGTTTTTTAGTGCTAGATATATTTAACTATTTGAAATACTGTTATATATAGTTTTGCAAGCACACATACAATTACAAACAAATACAATTGTGGATTTTATAAAATTATAGAGTTTCAGTTTTTAGCAATACAGAATAAAAAAATAAATTTAATAATGATAGTAAATTGTTTCATACTTTACATATTTTTAATGTATTTTTTATTATTGAAGTTTGGAATAATGGATTTGTGCCCTTAGGACATACACCGTGTATGTCCTAAGGCGTGCTATTACCAATTACGCTCATTCTTGTTAAATATTTATATCCATATATATTTATATTTATTGTTATCTATAATAACTAAGTATATTTCAAAAATTTATACAAAATTGAATGAACTGTAATTGTTCCTAACAATATAAACCCTGCAGCAACTCGGTATACTTATAATTAAATTAAATGGTAAAGAACTCACAAACGTGATTTTTTCTTCGATTTTATTATTATTACAACTATATAAGTTTATATGAATAATATCTTGTAGTAAAAGAAAATCTTTATTTTTTAAATAAACAGTTAGCCATTTTGCTTGTATATTTAAAACTGAATTTTTTGAATTAATTCTTGCCTTAAGGCAAAATGCCACTTGCACCGAGTTTGTTAATTATTTTGAACAATACAGAATTAATTAAATGAAGATTATAGTCGTCATACATTTTAATTATAGCATAATGCATAAATTTCTTTATATTAACTCATAAATCACACTTTAGTTCAAGTGGGTGAATAAATAAGATCAAATTACTGTGTGTGAGTATGTATGTTTTTGTAGGTGTTTAACAAAAAGTGTTATCATATTTCATAATTGTAGAAACTTTTTGCTCCTGGTGCCAGTCACCAGGCTACATGCATGTAAAATTCCTGGCGATGTGTTCGTGAGAATATATTATAATGTATTATTTATGCTTATTCGTCTATTTTGGCAACGGAAGTAAAGTTGACGCCAACTGGAAATATAAGGCATAAAAAAAAGTTTGTGATGTTTATATATCAACACGAAACTTTTTTAATCTTATAGGTGGAACCGGAACTAATGTAATAATTGTATTACCAAATGTGTAATAAAGGACCGAAGTTTGATACATTAAGCTCTTCGGGATCGATGGAATTTGGTAGGACGAAATTAATTAGGCTAAATTAATAAGTGAATAGTTTGGATAAAATCTATTGTTAAGGAGTTTTGGTACTACCAATCAAATCGTACGCTTACTACATAAATAATTTTACTATTTTTGTATTAAAAATCAAATTTTTGTAAATAAAAATAAATCAATGACCCCGACGTGATTTGAACACGCAACCTTCTGATCTGGAGTCAGACGCGCTACCGTTGCGCCACGGAGTCTTGTAAATTGAACGACTTAGTTTCGTATATATGTCTGCCGTGCATATCAATTTAACTTTCCACAAGTTTTTTTTCCAAAAAATCCGATTTGCTAATTTTACGTTTTCTCGATGTTACAAACCATTCTGAATCGAATGAGACCAAATTTGGAAAAATTGTGTCTGGTTTTTGCTCTTCGTCGACGTTTTCTCACAAACTGCTGTACCGATTTTACATGTTTAAATGTGTCAAGCCGTTTTTTTTGTAATACAAACGTATAAAAGTCTACAATTTTTCGTCTACATTGTATACAAAATTAGATATTGTGCTCTAATAAATCACTCATGTATTAATATATTGATTTCTTATTGAGCAAGTCGCTTTTTTACACATGTTGGGATACCGATGCAACTCGTTTTAAGGCGACTAACATCTAGTCCATTAGTTTCATTAGTAAAATAATTCATAATATACCTGAGATATAATTGAATCAAATTGGAAATAAAAATAATAATAATATGTTATAGATTATCGTTAAAAAAATATGAATCATCATTATCATTTTACAAATGCTTTATAATTTTAAGTACAGATGTTCGTTCGCCATTACTCTAGACCCGTATAAATGTACGAGTTCTCGCTTCTCTTTCGTAGTCCCTGATAGCCGTGATCGTCTAGTGGTTAGGACCCCACGTTGTGGCCGTGGTAACCCAGGTTCGAATCCTGGTCACGGCAATGTCGCGAACATTGTCACGGCAGGGACAAATATTTTTATTTTTTTTCTCATTTTGTTCATATTTTCATTTCAAAATACTTCAATCTCTTTATAAGCTCATGATATTTTGTTTAATTACTGACAATTGACTTAGTTATGTTCTTAACACGATATTTTTTGTAAAATAGATTTTCTATAAATTGTATAAAAAGTGTTTGTTAGTTTGTGTGTATGTTTTAACACAACTTGTGGAATTAACTTTTTTCTAGTTATATTTTGTATTTTATACTTTAGAACAAAAATCTTATTTTATCTTACTTTAACTAGTGTTACCTTTGATTTGGTTTGCATAATATTTAACTAAAAGTTGACTGATTTATTTAATTATTTACTTTTAATCTTATCGTAATTTAAAATTCTTTAATTGTTTATGAATGATATTCAATATCTTATACATCTCGTTCTATTTGGTTTATCTATTATCAGGTGTACAACTTTGCTCCCGCCGTTATTGTGAATAATTTGAATTGCCAAAACGACGGCAGCAAAATTGTACATTTGATGCACTTTAACAATTTATTTAAATATATAAATTGATGGAAAATTCAATCAATTTTAGCTATAATAATATGTTTTTAATGAAGATTTTTACAATTTTTAACAAAACCAATATATTGAAAGAAAGATAATGGCGTTATTAGGCGTACAACTTTGCTCCCGCCGTTATTGTGGATAATTCATATTGCCAAAACGGCGAAAGCAAAGTTGTACACTTAATGGACATAATACACAAAAAATTATACGGAATCATAGAAAAATTATATGGCTTTCCAATTATATGTTTATTTTTATTTGTGTTAAACAAATTTTTAAAGATTTTTATAAAAAAAACTAATAAAATGTCCTTCTACATTTATAATAATAGGTATACAACTTTGCTCCCACAAGTATAGCTAGTATATATTTATATATATATATATAAACCCTTAATATGATATTTTTGATGTAATAATGTATCCGTATCCGTATCCACCTTAAGGTCAAGAATATGTGCGCGAATGCATGGCAATAAAGTGCGCCCTTTAACTTAATCCATCGTGCGGAAAATGGAAAAAACTGCCACCAAAGACACAAAGTAATAGTTAAGGAAAATATACTGGCAATCATTCCTTATTTCGCCCCCTTGTCGCATTCAGAATCGTCCTTGTTATGATAATCCATAACATCTAGGGCTGCAGAAGTGAATCTACTGAAAAATAATAAATGGGGACGCAAAAATAATGAACAGTGGGAAACTTGTTATAAAATTGTGCATTGATAGAAATATATACTTGACTTGCGAATGACCTGGCATACGAGTGTTTCGCCAAAGGAGCTATTCGTCGCTTTTTCGTGAAATTTTGCACTTTTATGAAATCTTATTCTTACTCTTATGAAATTTTACTCTTACTCTTAAATTAATCAATAAATATAAACCACTGTGCTGCAACTAATTAATGACTGCAATCAAGGTATTTATATGGCAAAGTTTGCTTGGAGATGCGAGCGTGGATACAGGCGAATTAAACTCGTAAATCGGGGTACTATTGTATTTGTTATAATTTATTCTTTTCTTTTCTAGGTTTTTCGAGCACTAGAACAACCAGCTGAGACTTTAAGGCAAAAAACTTTAATGATGACCATGCAGAAGGAAAGATCTGAACTCCTAACTTTGATAAACAGTACCACGTTTAGGAGAGGTTTAAATTTTCAATTGTGGCTAGACAACAATCTAAAAAATTATGAGCTGGTATTAAAAATATTATGTGCTATTTAATTTGTTTCATGTGCTATATATTTTATATTTTAGGCCTTGGAAAAAGCTGTCTCTGAAGGTTTTCGCTTTGACAACATGTCTGATAATGAAGGTCGCGAAAAATGGAATATTTTACAAGCTGTATTTTTTTCTTCCACAGTCTTGACTACAATTGGTAAGAGAAGTAAATGATTCTAAGATTCAATTTTAAAAATCCATTTTCTATTTGACATGAAACATTAGACTTTTAATAAATCTAAGTAACTTTTGTCATTGCTTTGTGAGACTGCGTTTTCTATAAGGAAAACCTTTTTGTTAAATTAAGTTATCCGGACAAATGGAGGGTTTTGGATCCCAAAGGAAAATGTTAGAATGTTACGTTTCTCATTTTATTTTTAATATAAACTTGATGGTATAATAAACCCTGGAAATCTTATATAATTTATTCATTTTTATTTATTTACTATCATTACTATGATAGCATGGTACATATAAATACAAATGATTTAATATAATTATGAATGAGAATAGTAACTAGATGTATTAGGTATGTATTATTTTACATAGTACAATATTTAATCCATCAAGACATGCAATAAAATATATATTCACGCCTCGTTCATAATTTAATTTTGATTTTCTATATATATATTCCAAACATTTCTCAGTTTTATGTTTTCCAACTACTAAAAACGTGTTTATTGCCGGTTTAAATTTAGCTCGCGTATCTTGGATAACTTTTAATGCAAATGTAAACTTGTGCGTTTATTTTCGACTTGTAAACAGAATTGATTGAAGTGTAAAATGTAATCCAGATTGACCCAATATGAAATTTTAGATTATATATTATTTTTTATTTTAGGTTACGGCAACATAGTGCCCGAGACCAAATGGGGGCAACTGTTTTGTATTCCCTTTGCGATGATTGGAATCCCTTTAACTTTGACGGTGGTGAGCGATTGGGGAAAATTATTTGCCAGTGCTGTCTCCAGGTTGGCCAAACATCTACCTGCAATGCCAGGTATAACAGGAGAGTTTAATTAACTAGGTGCAAGTGGATTTTTGCTTTAAATAATCGACCTTTGCCGTGATTTTGCTATAAATGAAGAAAATAAGTAACATTATATATACATTGGGAAAATTATACATTTATTAATATATATAAAAACAAATGACGCGCCTGCACACTTCTGTTTACCGCGTCGGCCTACGGGACAGTAACTATGATAATACTCCTGCAGACAGTTTACATATCACATTGAGACAAAAATATTTTAATATCGTTTAAGATCCTATTCAAAAACGCTTGTGACTATCCACCTCTGTTACAATAATAAGCCCCTAGTATCTTATACTTATTTCATTTTTTTATTTAGTTCAGGACATAATAATTAAATTAAAAAATGCTTTGCTTTAAATATAATGAAAAATCTGAAAAATACCTATATTTTAGTTATTTATATAATAATACTAAATTATTTGTAATTGAAATTGACATGGAATGCTTTTTAAGTTTTTGAAATTAGTTCTGCCGTTTTTGAAAAAAAAATTCTTTTATGCTATTTCATACTATTTCCTTCTTCGATGTCAAAAGATTCAAAATGAATTTAAAAACACAAAATTAATAAATAGAATTTTCTGGCTAATTCAAACATTGTGAAATGCCAAGATCGGATAATAGATATCAAACGGATAATGTGGTTTCAACGTTGTGGCTTACATAGGATAAATTTGTTAATCTAATTACGATAATCTTTACTTTAATTCCCATTTGCTATATATTAATTCTACATTGCTGCTTTTTTGTTCAGAAAATGAAAAAAATGTCATAAAAACATATAAATTACTCAAAGCTTTCTAAAGAAAACTGATAGAATTAATTATTTCTAGATTATGAAGCTAAATATTGAGATAGAATAATAAGACATGCTTCTAATATAGTTTTCACCTATTTGTAATAAATACGGTCATTGAAGTTAGATAGCTTAAGCTTATACAAAATTTTGTATAAGGTAATATACAATATTAATTTTAACTAAGCCTCTTACAATCGTAAACTAAAATCATTATTTACAAATACAAGAAATGCATTAAATTGGTACATGATATTAATTTTACTTATGTGAAAAATCACATCATGCGTAAAAAAAATGAGAGCTTGTAGATAAGTTTATATATAAAATTATTAGATATTTAAAAAATAGTTATCTAAATTGAAATTTGGGTTGCAACTTATACACATTATAATATTCAGCCATTTTATTAGTATTATGCAAATTACTTATTCTAAATTCCATATATATATATATATATATATATATATATATATATATATAAAAAATTAATAAATAATAATTGTCTTATTAGAAAGATGCAGAAAATCATTCAGAAAAGCTGCCGTCAGAAGAGCTCTTTACATTTCTGGAGCAATTTGTGCTCTTTGTTTATATTTGGCTGCAGGAGCTACAGTATTTCTTTTATGGGAAAAAGAATGGACATTCTTTGATGGATTCTATTTCTGCTTTGTAACTATGACCACAATAGGCTTTGGAGACTTAGTTCCAAGTATTGTATATATAAAACTAACAATAAGTTAATATTTATTTGGCTTATAATTATATTTAGTTTACTTATTTTTAGCTCGTCCAAATTATATGCTGCTGTGCACTTTATATATTTTAATTGGGATGGCTTTGACATCAACTTTTATAGAATTGATTAGAAGACAATATGCTGAAAGTTGGAGAAGAATAGCACAAGCGATGTCGGGCCCTTTATTGGCAGAAGGATTGAAGAAACTTATGATGGCCCAAAATAATGCAGCAGATGTAGCATCTCTTCAAAGGATTCTCACAGTAAAATAATAGATACCCAAAAATATTATTAAAAGGCTTCATTGTTTCTTTTTTTAGGTCAGTATGCCTAGAAGAACCAAATCTTTAAGATCGAAGGATATTGATTCACAAGAATGGGAGGACGCTATGAGGGCTGTTTTAAGAGACATTCAAAATTCAAATAGCAATAAAATTATTCAAATTGTTGTTTATGAATCGTCAGTTTGAAATACATAATTATATGAATTATAATTAAGTAAGTATTAATAATTTAATCATATATAAGTTGCTATGAAGTAAGTTATTTTCTTACATTAAATACAATGCTACATAAGTCAGAACATGAAAATGGTTTCAATATTATAATTTATTTGTTCTGAAATTTGCTAACACAAATATTATTAATGTAAATAATTATGCAATTAGAACATAATTATTTTAATCTTCATGATTTATTGTCTTACTTATAAAAAGTTAAACAGATTTAAAGACATTGTAAATATTCCATTGGAGCATGGAGTTTTAATTATAGCTATTCTTAATAGACATCATATTTTGATTGAGAGTAAGAAGGCGCTCCGGTTCACAATTAGTTGTTAATATCAATATATTTATAAATTTTTGAACTTGCACAAAGCACCTTTATTTGAAATAACCGGTTTTTCATTCGTTGATTGGCAAGACTGTTGGCAGCCCGAATCTGTTTGACAGTTGCGATTCGTTAAACAAAGTTTTTCGTGTTAAAATTTAAATTCAATAATAACTGATTGTGTGTATTTATTAATGTTAATAAATATAATTTAATGAACGAATTGGAACTTGGTGAACTTATTATTGGTACCATTCTGGAATGTATGGTTGTGTCCATGGAACACAGGTATGTTTTAGGTTAAAATTAAATTAAAAACTTTTATAATCACATTAACTTATACCTCGCTTTTCGTTAACTAGATTCAGCGAACAAGTGCTTCTTAAAAATACATATGTACTTATTCTATAAATTCTTTAAACGTTTGTTTTAATATCTTATTGCATTTAATTTGGAATTGCAGCTTTATTATTTATTATTAATCAATTAATATTAATGAGAAACAAAGTGCTGCAATTTTACAATCAATCAGTTGTAAATATAAATATTTAGGTTTTAATTAAATTTTTGTTTATTATTTAGGTGTATTTGATTTTGTTATATCTTACGATTGTTTGTAGCCCAAAGATGTCTGAAATTTTTGGTGATGAAAATCAAATTTGTTAATAACTGAAAGGTCTTATTTGTGTATTTACTGAAGTTGATAAATAAAATTGAAAAAGATAATTGGAACATGCTGACATTATCATCAATTCTGAAATTTATATCCATGAAACAGGTATGTTTCAGGTTAAAGTTAAATTAAAAACTGCAATAATTAAAATAGCTTTGTTTCTTACATTCGTATCGATATATTTACAATAAGTTATAAATTAATTGGTAATAATATAAAAATATACAATTTTAATAATATTGTTATATACACGGCCGCAGTAATGCATTTGGATATTCTCTATAAGTCTGAAAAAAAAAATCATAATTAGATTAATGATAAAGTATCTGATTATAGCATTTTGAAAAAATACATTTTATTAGTACAATTTCAAAATTTACTAAGTAGTTCATATGATTCTTATGTTTAGTGTTATATAATTAAAATTTTCATATATTTAGTTTTCTATTTTCAAACATTTGGTTTCCGGTAGATTTGGAAAGTTGGCTGAAAGGAAATATTGGTGAATTAATGTTTTGGTTAATACTTGAATATCAGGCCAACAACAAAAACTATTCTGGACATATTACGGCATTTTAAATAGCTTCAGGTATATTTATATAATTCTTACTTATTTATTAAATTATGCTATTTATATAACTATTTTGGGCATATTAAGGCATTTCACAACAACTTACTCATAGTTTCTTGTTGGATTTCAACCTTATAAGTTGGATTGTCATAAGCGCTTTCAGCTATAGTAATTTTTCTATTATTATGCTCTCCATTGGCGTTTCTTACAGCCGCTGCTGCAGGTGCTGTAATACTAGCTGTTCTTCTTGTTCCCCTTCTACAAAAAAATATGTTGTATGATTCACATACTTTTAATGGCTAAGATTAATTTTGTTGGTTACCTGGTCAGTATGAGTAGCAAAATTAAAGTAGACAGTACTGCCAGGGCTGCGATTACTGCAACAACTACTAAAGAGGAATAGTAATCTCCTGTGTTGTCTCTTTTGGAAGGCATTGAACTCAATTTATCTGGAATATTTATAATTAATATTGTGCATTTGGTTATGAAAAGTCATTTATAAACTTGTACCTGTTTGACTGTCTTGTGGTATTCCAGGTTTGTCAATAAGTCGATAACAGCACTCTTTTTGATCTTGCATTTGTAAGATAAGCTTCTAACCATAGCCTGTACCTGAAAGAAAAAGTATATGTCTTAAGTTAAATGCATTCATCAGATTTTAACCTAAAATACCTACTTTGTTCCTGGTTTAAGATCTTTATCATTGTTCCACCCATTGACTCTCTTTTAGCTACTTTGAACACGCTTAAAAATTTTAATACAAAATTATAAATAAAATAA